GGAGGTCAAGGTGAGGATGACGTGGGAAGTAAGGACAGGACGGGTTTGAAGACGGGGAGGAGGAAGAGGGTGTAGGGGCATCAGGAAGGAGATGGGGGGGATTAGCAGGAGATTACAGACGAGGACGAGGGCCGGACCCATCAAGGCAGGGGAAGGAGTCAAGAGGGGTAGCGAGGAGCAGGGAGGGAGACGCGCCGAGTTCGTGATCACATGGCATGCAAGGGCACGGGGGAAAGAGAGGGAGACAAAAAAAAAAAGGATCAGGCGGTAAGTGAAAGCGAGTCGTGCAAGCGAGTGCCAATTAGTCCATCGGACCGTGCCGCCGTGTGAGGGGCCGATTCCCGAAAAACACTTTCAGATCCGTCACCAGATTTCGACTAACAGAATCACATCGAAAACAAGTCAGCGCGGATTACATCAAAGCAAAAGCAGGGAAAAAACATTCGCCCCTCGGAAAGCCGTGCCACCTGCATCTCGGCACGTCTCCCCCCGTGTGTTCGGAGACGCCGTGTCCGAGAGGCAGCGGCGCTGCCCGTGTCTGGGTGACCGGGGTGTGCTCAGGCCAGGGGAGGACTTTGTCATCATTACTGGTAGAGGTCTTTGAGCGGGGAGCTGTGCCAGCGTGCCAGTTGAAACAGGACTCGCAGAAGTTCAGGCCACGCCAAAACGCAGACCGAAAGAACACTCTGCCACGAAGGCTCAACAGCAGAAACGTCACATTTTTCTTTTGTTTTTCAATTTTATTATTTTCGGCGTGGAATAAGGCTCTACTTGTATCTGTACTAAGGATCGAACGCCTGTCTTCTCTTGTGTGACAGTGAGGGCCGGACAGAACTATACAGGACCCTGCAGCAACGCTAGCTCACAGGAGGAACTCCCTCCCACCAGCTATCTATATACATGCATGGATTTGAACTGGCTCTGCAAAACTGCAGAAACATGTCTGTATTATATGGAAGTAAATATAATACATAATACACACATATATATAAAATATATATATGGGAGTAAAAAGAAACGCGCTGTGGTATCTTGCAATTGCGACTTTGTATCTCAGAATTGTGACATTTAATTTTACTTAAAAAAGAAAGTCTTCTTTAGCTCAGCTGGCAAGACCTGGGTTCGAGCCAATGCAGTGAGGCTTGAACTATGATGGGAGCGGAACCCGAATCCGTTACAATGAAAAGAGGGCAGAAAATGAAATGTGGGCATTTCGAAGTCACAAACGTGAGATATAGAGTCGGAATTCTGAGATACAAGCCGCAATTGCGAGATACGCTGTTCTTTTTTACTCCCTGGCGGAAACGGGCTTCCATAGTATTTGGATAAAACGCGATGCAGTTTGTTCTTCAGAAAATCAGAAGTGCTTGATTAAGCTGTGAAACCCCAGGTCTCTGCACAAAACCCGACCCACTCAGGCACAACACCCAGCTCACAGTGCCTGCTCCCTTTCCCTGCCGGCAAACGAGACCCAGACAACCCAGAATGGGGAGAGAAACAATTATGCACAGGAGACCGAACTGCTCCTTGCAGGGTGCAATGTTTTGCGTTCACTGAAGAAATATTAACTTGTAGTGTGCAATCTGGTTTCAGGAGCTCTGAGCTACCGGAAACAAGCAACAGTCCCCGACAGTAACACTGCAGCTCGGAACAAGCCCCAGCAGACATGGCCTCCTCAGGACAAATCAGGCTCTTGTTGGTCAAACCCTGCCTGCTTGCTTCAGGCCCTAGTGGTCAAGGGCTTGATGTGGAGATAATGAGGCTTTTTGTAGAATCAGTTATAATGGTGTCACCAGAACAAGTCAGTCAATAAACCCCCAGATGCTCTCTGCAAGACGCTAGGCGCAAGTCAGAACCACTCAGACACTTCCTCAGATAGAGCGCTAGCTTGTTGGGCGAGAGTTTAAAGATGTTGTTGATCCGAGTTTCTGCTGCTCTTTTACTGACCCGATGTTCTGAAACGACATCGCCACCCTGCTGAGTTCACTCCCCGCTGTTAGTGCAAACGAGTCCACTTCTCTCTCTGAACTCTGTCCAGGCGATTTCAGCCCTTAGCAAGGTTTATTACAGGTCACAGCGCATGGCCTCCGCCCACATGGTTCTTTTTTATTCAGATGTTTTTTCCCCCCTCTATCAAATCATTATCAAATCATTTTTTTCTGTAAAGCCTATTCAGAAGCCACTTTTAAACGTGATTAATCATCATCACCACCCCAACAGCCCAGGGACAGCGCCCTGCAGGAAATTGTTTTATAGCTGCTGGCGGATGTGGAGGCGAGGCAGTGGGCTGCTGCCAAAGAGGTAATCATGCCAATGCTGCAGCACCCATCTCTGGTTCCGAACAACCGCACAGCCACAAGGCAGCAGAGCTGGCTTGGTGCTGCCGGCACAGAGGAGCCGGGACACCCACGGTTCATTAAAGGCGAATGAATCCTTGATCACTTGGGGAGGACGAGGCAAAGTTAATGGTTGGTTATCGGTTAGTTACTGATTAAAAATGCCAGTGAAGCCAAGGACGGTGGCACAGAGCCAAGCGAAGGCAGGGGTGTTAGCTGGGGGAAATGAGAGAGGAGAGGACCAGAGATCTGAAAGAAAGGTGCTGATTTGGAAACCGCGAGTGGAAATGGATTTTTGCTTCTAAATATTTTTTCCTGGATATGCTGTGCGTTTCGGCTCCCTCTTCTTCGCTCATGTGAGGTTCCACAGCAAGACGTGGCTCTGGTGTAACACGCAGAGAGACCACCTGGCGAGCCGACAGCCAGGAGCCTCAGTAATGGCCTCGTTGTAGTTAGAAGAACGAGTTCAGACTGAAACGTACCAAAGGTGTCAGCAGCTCCATCTATTCCTTTGAAGGTAATAATTATGGGAGATGGAAAGTGTGGGTCCAAGGAATCCCTCTCAAACACAACACAAGAAACCTACAGGTAGTGGACAAAAAAAAATACGAACACCAGTGTAAAGTCACTTAAGGGGGCACTGGGCTACCCTGTGTGGCCAGTAAGGCATTTGAGGGCTGTGGCATAGGATCTGCCAGTATCTGAAACTGGAGGGTTGTGGCACTATTCTTGCACAAGAGAGCTCCTTCTGAATTCTTCAAGTTGGCATTAAGCTGTAGAGAACATGCTGAAGGATGATTCATCTGATCGCTCCTCTTCACTGCTCGGTAGCCCACTGCCTGTGTTCTTTGCACCTCGCCATGCTAAAGCTCCTGCCACCTGTGTTTCAACATCAGAGTCTCCTCTTGTAGCCATGCTGTCCATAATTATATTCAACCAGCATTTTTACAGATAACCATAAGAAGAATGCTAGGTTTATATATGTCTCATGCTTAATTTCTGCATGAGACTCACCTGTAGGGAGCACCACTCTTTCTATGCTTTCAATGCATTCGGTGTCCAACATTAATCCAATTGTTTTAATTGTTTTGTCCACTGCCCATAGTTTTCACCTCTGGTTTATCCCTGGACAACAAATCACATGAGAAACTCCCTGCCAGGCCTGCATTTCCCATAAAAAAACTACAATTCCCTGAGGAATTATAAGAACTTCCTATCCATCACTCTACGCCACAATGAGAACCGAGTAGCATCTTAGCAACACAACCTGCTAACATGGACCACAAACTCAAAACTGTCCCTGAAAGAGTCCACAGCTCCCGTCACGCTGCCAACAAATCTCCCTGAGTCCTCCGCGTCAGACTGACCGTGGCCCAGCTCGGTCTGTGCGTAGGTGCCCAAGACCTTGAAGGTCTTTGCCGGCGGTATCCACTTCTCCTGCTGAGCGGGGTCACCCAGCTTTTGCAGGGTTGGGAGGAACATGGCGTAGTGCAGGCCCAGCGCCTCGTGTTCCCGGCCGTTCCAGATTCTAAAAGGGACAGACAGACGGACAGTGCCAATGACCGCGACGGCGACAGCAACCGATCCAGGCACAGCTTGTCCCCGATTTGAGGACTCAGGGGTTGGGGGGGGGGGGGGGGGAAAAGAAGATACCTGCCAAATCACGTTACTCAAGAGCTCTTCCTCACTCCCACAGACCGAGCTAGAAAGGTGGACCCACCCTTACCCCTGAGCAGCAGACAAGCCCCAGTTGGTACTTCAATCAAAGGGAATTTCTTTCTTTTGAAATACTCTTTGAGCACAGAGTGCCTGGCCATTGAGGCATGCCAGAGACAGGACATTGCATAAACCAGTTCCTTCCTCACCTGCACCGGAATCTTTACTGCACGGTGAAGGCTATGTTATGCACTGCAAAGGCATTTGAACAAAGTAGACCTGAATACCTGCTTCACTTAGAATGCTCGCCAAAATAATTCGTTTTTGCGATTTTCATTTTTTAAAATAAAAGGATTTTGAGACTTTCAGAACTTAATACCATTGTTATAGGTCCTATTTAACCGTGACCATTAGAAAGTGCCGTTCAGATCCTGAGCTCTGCCTGCAGCTTCTTCCTGCGCTACAATCAAAGCTCACCGTTCTGAAAGAAACTAACGCATTTAGCTAGACTTCAATGGACTGCTTCGTACAGTACAGGCTCTCTGCAATACGCCCCTGCTCCCTGACACAGTTCCGAGCCAACATTCACTTTTGCCCTGGTTGGAGAGGTTCCCTGCCCTGCTGCGTGAGCCCTGAACTGCAAACACAGCCTCTCTCTGGTTCAAAGTCCGTCACAGAACCACCCCCCATTTCAACAAGCACATGGAGCAGCAGGAACTGAAGGAGACGCTCAGAGGTATTAGTTAACAGCTTAAACAAGGCACCTCACAGAATCAGAATCAGAATTAGGATTAGGTGATGGGGGTTAAGGTCCAACAGTTTGTTTTACAGGTAACTAAAATCTAAACACCCTCTAAAAGGGCCACACGTAATCATGATTAAAGAAATATTAGCTTCGAGCTTTTCAACACAAGACAGAACAGGAACACAACAGGCTGCAGGTTCTGACGAGAACACAATGGAAAAGCCAGGAGAACGTTCAGCCCATCTTGCCGGTTAGGTAGTTAAGCAGCTAAGCAAGTCCAAAGTCTCATCCTGCTTCATTCTGTGTCCTGTAAAAGCGTTTGGGCCTCAGCCACCCAGTTGGGATGTCTGCTCGGGATCGCAACGTCTCCTGTTCTCCATCCTAACGGACTGCCTCTCAGTTTCAGCGTGACCCCATGTCCCCATTCCAGCCATGAGTGTGAAATAGCGCCCTGGGCTGACTTGGCTTCTGGGAAAACTGGCCATGGTGCGAGCGTGTCTGTCTGTGTCTGTGTGTGCCCTATGATGGACTGGCGTCCAGCCCAGGGTGTATCCTGCCTTGCGCCCATTGCTTGCCAGGATGGGCTCCGGTTTCCGCAGGAACCTGTACCGGATAGAGCAGGTTAGAAAATGGATAGACGTTGCTCTCTTATCCCAAAGACAATCAAAAGCCCTCCCCACCTGGAGCTTTGGAGAAAAAAAAAAGACACGGAAATAAGAAAGTGCTTTTCTACACGTCTTTTCCCCAGAAAAGAGCGCTTGTGTGGAAGCTGACGAGGTAAACGGGTCTCCCGCGGGGGAGCTGTACCAAAGGCTAAACAGAAAAGCCAGCCAAGAAAATGAGCAGGCACAGAGAACCGTGTGCACTGGCCAACAGTCCACGCCATGGATTCGGACAAGGAAGCTGGAAAGTGCCGTTCGTAACTCTGCCTGTGGCTGGGGGGGGCAGTGGTAGGCTTTCTCACTCGATGCCTGCAGCCGCCAGCAGCCCAGCGCCGCTGCTGGGGACCTGCGCACATGACAGCTCACACAAAGATGTCTGTTAGCATGGGTCCGCAGGGATTCCAGGTTGTGTGGTTGAAGAAAAAGACATTAATTACAAAACAAAAAACAAAAGCCCCTGGAAATCAGGATACGATATACGAACTATTCTTCCTCTTACACACCCTGAAACACAACACTCAAACTTACACAAGAGTAACAGTGTTAACGGCTGCCAGCGCTAACTTTCCAGTTTTACTGGTCAGGTGAAGAATAGACAACACTGAGCTCCAGTTTCTCACTCCTCCCCCTGACCTGCTGTTCAGTGGGCAGCAGTGTCTCCCCCAGATGGGGGCTGTACTAGAACTGGGAACTGGGCCCCCCTATATGAAAGTCACTTTGGGATCTTCTGCGATGCAAAACTCAGAATAACAAATGCAAGAAGCTCCATTCCAGGGGAGGAGCGATTTGCGTCGCCTGTGGACTGTGGATAAAGACTTTCTGGACAGTTTTGGTGGCCCAAGTGTCCTGCAGCACCTTCCCCCAGGGCAGAACCCCCCCCCCCCCACCAAGGCCATCCTCTGCCCTCCACTGACCAGATCTGGGGGAAGAAAGCGATCGTCTTTGCTCCCAGCGGCCATTATGCCAGAAAGTAAAGAGTGTCATCAGGGAAAAATCCATTAAAACACAAATCGATAGATTCCAACACTCCTCCTTCTTCCTCTGCCTCTTCATCCCCTAGAAAGCCGTCGACACAAGGGCTTGACCGCGCTCGCACATGCTGTGTGCACACACTCCAGAGCTCCTGTACCCTGCTTATCCGCCTTCTGAGAAGCCCAGTTCACTTTATGATTTTATTAATCGCCCAAGCACGCACAACAAGCCCTGGTGCTCACTGGTGGGATGTTTTGAAAGCAGACTGTCGGTAATGGAAGCAAGACTTTTGGTTGGACCATTTCGAATCCGAGAAGCTGGGTTTTCTTGCATGAATTGCACTGGTGAAGCAAAAAAGCCGATATACTGTATATACAGGCATTTCTCCATTTATGCACCAGATACTTTCCCGCAAGAGCTGTGTAAATTAAGAATTTGTTTCCCATGACAATGCATGTTTTAGGAGAGCGTGCTACAGGTCCACTCTAAACCAACGGGCCGACCTTCCAGATAAAAATGATGACACATAGTGTCATATGCTCACAGACGTACCTGGACTGGGTGCACGAAAAGCGTATTGTCATAAGCACTCCGTCAAGATCCTAGCCACAGCCAGAACTGTATAAGTGTGAAGGACTGGCATTATATATTATATATTATATATATTCTTGAGGTACTGTAGGTCACCCCCAAAAATGTGTAAAGTAACACCGAGTAAATGGAGAACTGCCTACACACATGAAAATAGTATTTCAGATGTTACATAAACTTTAATTTTCACTCGACCAACAGTAACAAACAGGAAACAGCTCACGCCAGAGCAGGTTTGCAGCTCACAGAAAGCCATTCTCCCAGCAAAGCAGCCATTCAAGAAACCCCCGTGGGCCAGAACCGGGAGGCCTGATCCTGCAGAGACCCGATCAATTCAACCAGCCGCTCACGAGGAACCGCAGAGCGCCGGGATCCCGCATCGAGGAGAGGGGCTGTGCAGCCACAGGCCTTGCGGGCCAGGGCTCGGCTCCCACTACGCCGCCATACCTCTTATAGCAGTAGATCTCTTCGGGGTCAGAGATGCCGTGCTCCCGCATCTTCACGATCATCTGCGCGCTCCGCTTCACCGCCGCGGCGTACCGCTCGCTGCGGGACAGGAAGTTCAGGTCCACATGCTGGAAATCGGGATCGCTGATCACCAGCGATTCTGCAGGACGAAGGGAGACGAAAACAAACTGTTTATTTCAGGATCACCCCAGAGCTATGCTGTGTATACATTCACGGTGACACTCCTACCCTGGCTGTTTCAAGAAAAGGGGCTTGGATGAGGCCCTCATAACAAACGGCAACTCACAGCCAGACAGGATCAACGGGCCGGCTGGGCCCTTCGTACGTCCTCATGCTTGGGTGTAAATTACATCCCTTTCGTTTTTTTCTGCTCTCCTCAAAATACAGGAACACAGACACAACCTTCTGGAACGAGACTGGCAAGACCAGCCTGTGCCACCGTAAAGAGGAAAAAAATAAAAAGTAAGTAAAAACTGAGAACGTTTTGATGAGCCACAAGAAGCGGCAGCTGACTGCACAATTCAGTGCCCAGTACCTGCACTGTACATCTAACATCACATCACTTTATTAGCCCTAGACAATTTCTTGCAATAGGAATTTGTCTTTTCGCAGACCCCAGCTTGCTCTCCATGAGACACACAGGCACACAGACAGGGAGAGAGAAGCTGGGGGTCAGAGCGCAGGGTCAGCCATTGTACAGTGCCCCTGGAGCAGCTGGGGTGAAGGGCCTTGTTCAGGGGCCCAGTGGGGTAAGATTCCTCTGCCAGCAACCTTCCAGCCACGTGCGCAGATCCTGAGCCACAGAGCCACCACTCCACCCATCTGTATCAGGACCACAGCTTAAAGGATGTGTTGCTTTGCATTTACACCTTATATTGCCTAATCAAATTGCTATTGAATGGAGCAATCTGAGCGACAGACTAATATTATGCTACTGAAACTGTCCTCTTTTGACTGCAGGCATGAATAGGCTAGGATATTTTGGGTTTATCACAAACTCCACGGCAATTACTGGAAGTACAGCCAACAATTCACGGGCTTTAGAGACGTGCAAGTACAAACATAAAAGTTGCACAATTATCTTGCTTTACTGGGCATACAAGTGACATTATTATTTTCCCAAACTGAATGTGGTATTCACACCCCACAAGAATGCAGACGTATTAGATTCCTGGCACAGCTTATCAGCTTTGGTATTTCTGTGTTTTTCCTCTGTAGGACTATCACACATCCAAGCGATTTAGAAACTTGTGGACAAACCAAAAATATTTTTGCAGGCGTGTTCTCTGATCGCCCTGGCCTGAACTGCTAAAGGCTGCCGACCGACGTGGCCTTGTGTCTCTCATGTCACCGTTAGCGTGAGAGAAGGATTAAAACTCTTGACTGCTTGCTTGTGATGCTTTAATGCTGGCACTGAAATCTGAACATTGATTATCCTGTTAACCAGAACTCTGGGGCACGAAAGCTCCTCCTAATCAACCCTGGACAACAGCGATGTCGTCTGAAGCAGTTGTACCAAAAGCCCAGAGGTAACATCGTGACACCCATTTTATTTTTTATTACAATGCTAAACCGCTCAACCTTGGTCCTGGTTCTCAGATGATTAATTTTTAACTGCCAGTATCCAAACAATGCTGCTAGAGTTGCAGTTAGGGCTTTGGACCCTGGACCAGAGGGTCGCGGGTCCCAATCAGCGCCCGGCTTCTGCACCTCTGAGCGGGGTCCTGCGCTCAGGCGGCCCCAGTGCGTGTCCGGCTGTGGGAAGCGCCGGCTCCCCGGACAGGGCTGCTATCCGGTGGGGGCACAGAGGGGGTCCCCGCCTACGTTCAGAGCACTTCGGGACCGTTCAGGATGGCCTCACCAGAACGTCTACGTGCAACGAAGGTCCGCAGTCGGACTTGACCTAGCGACACTATATCGCTTCACAGACATGGAACTCAGCTAATCTGAGCTGCTGTGTCAGAAAGTTTTTCAGGTCGCACAAAATTCGTCCGAGGAGACCGTTGCCTCGGGAAGCGGCGTGAATTTTCGAAGCCCTTTTATATTCATAGCATACAGGCAGGGGGTGCCCCCCGCCTTTGTCTGCGTTCTTTCGGGTTCTTCTGTCTTGCGTCAACAGCTTTACCCGTCTCCCATGGGGTGGCGGTGATTATTTTTAAAGTAGTCTCACCCCGAATTTAACTTTGATCTGTTTCCTCATACGCAGGAGCGGCCGACATCATTAAAGATCCCGGGAAGTTTGGTGGAGCTCGTTCGCTCCAGGGGCATCAGGATTTCTTGGGGATACCAAATTAGATACGAAGCCTGCCCGGCCCAGCACAATACCCAGATCACCAAGCACGGAGCTCAGTTTCTTTCCCCGGGGGGTGGGGGGTGGGGGAAGCGAGGTGTCTGTTTTCGGGGTGCACAACACAAGCCGGTCACTCCCCCCCTCCCCGAACTCACCGATCTCCCTCCGCCTCTGCGTCTTCTCCGCTCCCCCGTCCAAGATGTACGTCAGCAGGTCGGTCTTGAAAGTGGCATTATCTCGCTCTTTGCGGAGGTCGGGGTTCATGGCGGACTCGTTCCGGGCGAATTCTTTACTAATCGATGTATCTGTGTGGTTGGGACCTACAGTCGCACTGTGGAAAGCAAGGCAACGCTCCTGAACCCCCTGAGCTGAGCGCAATGACAGCCCCCCCCACACAGGCCTCAGACGGGGAGGGGACACAGACATCCACTAACTGGACTGTCCAATTAGGATCAGCTGGGTTGGGCTTTGGACAAGTAAAGGCAGGGCCTCTTTGACAGGTGTTTCCGCAAAAGGACAACACGCCAGGAAGTAAGTCCCCTGTCCCCTCTCCCCTCTCCCCTCTCGACCGCTAGAGACCACCCGCGACCAAATTCAACCCTGTTACAGGTGTACCACGCCGAGCTCCAGGTTGGCGTTCTGTACCAGGAAGAGCGTTCTTAACGAGCATTAAACGTGATAGCCAATCAGATTGCAGTTCCGGGGGATGGAGAGGCCCACGGCCCAATGGCACTCGAGAGTTGCGTCTGACCTCCCGCCCCTAGGCGTCACATGGCTCGGGAGCTGTCAGCTGACCCAGGCGCACAGGCGGAAGCAGTTTCTCGCCTTGAGACCGGCACCGCGATCGATAATAATGATTGGCAACACCAAGAATACAAAAGACAGGTTGAGGTATCGCTTTAGGGTTGAATCTTACTAGGCTCATCTGTTCTGAAAGAAAGGCCAAAGGCAGGTAAACATTAAGATAACACATTATAATGCCTAGACATTAAAAGACGAATTTGATCAGGTACAAATGATACAATGATGATACAAATGATACAAAGACAGCGCTGTTTCTTCCAGTTCGTGTTGAAAAGATGCTTCCTGCGCCCGGTGTTTTCCGCTTTCCCTGGGAAATCAGTTCAGGAGAAGTCAGGGAGGGCATGTCAGTGAGGACCTATGGCAGGTAGTTTATCGATCTTGTTCATGCAGGCACACATATGGGTGGAACATCCCTATTTGAAATGTTTGTTTTTAAATTATGCTTATTTTTAATGTTAATGTTTAATGTTTTTTTAAAAAAAAAACTGCTAAAACGATACATAAACATCACAAGTAAAACTTTTCCAGGCTGAAGAACTACAGTGCGGAGCTGTCGGAGGCGGTACTCTGCAGTCAGCACGGCTCAGCCCGGCACCAGGTGACTGTCCACACTGGCTTTGTGGAGCCCTTTCAGGCCATCGCTGGAGCTCAGTATCTCGTGCTGGGAGAGCTGGAGAGCAGAGGAGGTGAGTCGGAGACCAGGATGAGGAGCCTGGGGTTTCAAACCTGATCAGTATCAGTTGTACCGATGAGTAAGGGCCAGGCAAGACATGTCACAGCTGAACCCAGGAAAAAGAGGGCTGATACTGTAAGTGCTGCTGGTGGACCAGTAGGTCGCCCTCTTCCTCCTGGACCAGAATTTCCCCACCCGTGTCTCTGTATGTTGACCTCTCACTGTGCAGAAAGAGGCGCTGTCCTTTGGATGAGACTTTAAACAAAGTCCCTGATTCCCTGCACATCACGAACCCTAGCTGGTGAGTTTTCTCCATGCCCGTGCCATGATGCCGAAGCGCCCTTCCCCTTGCTCCCCAGCAGGTGGCGCCCTGATGGTGCGCGCGCGGGTGCTGAACTGCGTGGACGGGGTGAACGTGGCCCTGCTGCAGCGTGCCGTCGTGGAGCAGAGGAGCTACCTCCGGGAAAGAGACGGGGAGGCCCACACAGCCTGTTGAGCTCCATCCACACCTGCACCAGGACCCAGAGGGTGGGGTGGGTTCACCTGCCGTGACGCACCCATTGGGATCACCCCCACCGCAGACTGGAAACACCCCTTTCCTCAGGGGGTCATGGGACAGGCAAACCAAGGACATGCCACTGCACACATCTGCTCTCTGGGTTGTTGTAGAGTTGGAGTGCTGGTGTGTAACAGGCAGTGAATGAACAGGGGCAGACTGACCTCCTTTCTGCTGCATGCCTTGTCTGATAGAACAGGATTCTTAATGCCCACCTGCATAGCCTAGCTGAAATACCTACCTGTGTAAATGACAGTGCTGTATGGACTGGATGGATCTGCAGCTTTGTGTTCCAGTTGTTAATGCCTCACATGAAGGAGAGCAGCCTGTAGTCAATCCAACGAGAATGTTGTTATATTCACAATGGTATGTTAGCACTAATGCCTCCACGCACTCTTGGGGTCTGGGGTCAATTTGAGCCTGGGATGTCCTTTGTGTTTCCAGCGATCCTGTAATGGTTGATGCTGTTTGATGTAAATGCATATCTTTCTGTATTATCCCATAAGCTAATTTTATTATTGTATTTTTTTTAAATAAAAGAAAGGTTTAAACTGTCAGTAAAAATCTAAAGGCACAGTTTTGCATGGTCTACAGACCATGACAAGGAAAAAAAATGTTTTATTACAGTTATAGAAATGTATTGATGAGGTGACTAGTTAGTTTTCTTTTGCCAAAAAGCAACATGATGAGCAGCCTGCAGTGTTTATGTCCTTACTGTGATTTTCATTCTGACCTCCGTATTGAATATTTTTAATATAATTTTGCAGGTATCTCAGTCTTGAGATAAAACCCGCCACTCTCAAAGAAGGAATATATAGCTTGAATAATCAGCACACAGAGATCTCTCATTATGGTACATTTTAATAAAGAATAATAGTGACCACAATATCAAACAAGACTATATGGAGGATACAAGAAATTAAAAGACTGTCATAATTTCAACTTTAATAATCCTGCAGAAAAAGGCATCAAGATCCATCTGCCTTGTTAACATGATCTAAATACTAGATCTGTGGATCCTACCACGTGTCTCATGACAAACAGCAGCACAAAACCATTTCATTCCGTTTAAATAAAATAAAGAGGTTTATGAAACTTCAGCACCCTATGCAAAGAAAAAAGAAGAGTAAACCATCTAGTGAGTCCAGTAGCAATTATTGGACATTTATAGGCATAGTAGGACAGAGTATAGTTAGCCATGCTTTCCTGAGAGAAGTAGTTTTTTTTTTCCTTATTGAAAACATTTTTAAGCGAGTCTTCGTGTAGACAATGTCCATTGTGAATAACATAAAAACTGATGTAGATTTCTAGGCACTTGAAAAACGTGCGCTCTGTATTGCTAATGTTTCGCTTCTGGACAGGGTCCATCAGAGTTAGCATGGGCTGAGGAGGGGGCTGTACACACTCAGTAGTAGGAGGAGTAAGTGGAGGATCGGGGACTGGAGTAGGAGGAGTCGGCGGAGGCAACGGGCAGGAGGAGGAGACCGGTAGTGCGGTCCTTCTGACAGCGCGCCATGGCTTCCTTGTAGTTGATCTTTTGCTTGGTGATGGGGTCCACGACGTCCTTGGCATAGCAGGACTCGTCCTGGAGCTCCTTTGCCATGGCGCTGTCGATCAGCTTCTGATTGACGGCTTCCGTTACGCTGATACGGCCTGCCCGCTTGGGGTCCACCAGCCCTCCCGTCAGGTACTGCACCTCCATGTAGCGCATGGCGTTGTCCTTGGACATCCAGCCCTTCTGCACGGCCTCGCCCACAGAGAGGCGCGCCTTCGTCATGGGATCCTCCACCCCAGTGAAGGCCTTCTGGGCGTTGAGAAGCCTATTCACACTGGTGGTGTCGATGAAGCCGCGCTCGGCTGCCTTGTGCACGGAGTAGCGGTCCTTGTTCGCGATGTCGACGATGCCCCCTGTGGCCGCCTGCGCCTCCAGCAACTTCTGCCCCGTGTTGGGGTCAATCAGCTTCCGGGTCATGGCGCTACGGATGGACATGCGGCTTTTGGTGGTGGTGTCAATCGCTCCAGAGATGGGATAGTTCTCATCGCCGCCAAGCACATTCAAGCTGCTGCTTGTGAAGGAGGACCTCTGTGCAGAGAGGGGGGTATTGAGAAGGGGCTGTTTCTTGGTTTCGCCAGCAACCAGCAGGGCGAACTCTGAGATGGGAATCTTGCCCTCCCTGTAGAGCTGCACCTCCATTGGGGTCACCTTCTTGTCTCTCAGGGCGTCCTTGATGGAGTACTGCTTGCCACTCTTGCGGTCCTGCAGCACGGAGGTCTCCCCATCGGGCCCTGTAGTGGTGACCTCCTCCCAGTTGCACTCCAGCTGCTGCAGTTGGATGTACTGATTGCGGTCAATCAGGCCAAGCATGTAGGCATCATAGGGTGACATGTCTTTGCCTGTTTCTGGGTCTAGAATGGTGATTTTGGTGGAGAGATTGGTCTCTCTCATCTGGGTCTCACTGTTCTTGGCGTCTTCTTTCCTCAGAGACTCCTGCAGCTCCCTCAGCGTGATCTCCCGCTTGTTCAGTTTGTCCTTCTCATCCAGGATTTCCTTTTCCAGACGCTTGACGTCGGTATCCATCTTGATGCTCTTCTGACGACTCATCTGGGTCCTCTCGCTCATCAGCTTGGACTGCTGCTGGAAGCTGATGCTGATGTGCTGCCTCTCAGACTCCAGCGTCCTCAGCTCCCGGATCATTTTCTCCTTGTCCCTCAGGAGGGAGTCCTTAGTCTGGATGAGGAGGGTCTCCTCCTGGGAAGTGTTGGTTCTCGCTCCTTGGAGACGGTTGAGTTTCTCGGTGAGCCGCCGGATCTCATCCTCCAGGTCCCGCCGGGCATTTCTCTCCTGGTTCACCTGGTCCCTGAGGCGGGAGCGCTCACCCTCCAGCATTTTGTCCTTCTCCACCCGGATCACTTCTTTATAGACCGTCTTCTCAACGGACCTGTCTCTCTGCAGTATCTCCAGCTTGAGGGTGATGTTTCTGATTTCCCTCTCTAGGCGCATGATTTCATTCCTCTGCTTGTCCAGGTCTGTCCGAAGGCCACTGGTCACGGCTTCCAGTTTGGGGTCCCTCTCCACCTTCAGGACCTCCTCCATGATGATCTTCTCCTCAATGGGTGGTGGGGCGGTCTCGAGCTCGTTGATTCGGGATTTGACCTGCCTGAGCTCCATCTCTACGGCGATCTTCTTCTGTCTCTCATCCTGCTGCTGCAGAAGCTTCTCCTTTTCCTCCACAAGGGCCATTAGCTGCTGTACTTCCAACTCCAGCTGCCGTCTGGACTTCACCTCTTCATCCAGTTCCTTGCTCAGCTTCTCATGCTCCATTATCTGCCTGGGATCCTTCTGCAGACGTACAAGTTCCTGCACCACCACTTTTTCCTCGGGCTTCTGCCTCTCCAGAACAATGTACTTGTTCTGCAGGTCAAAGACCATTTCCTCCATTGTTCTGCGACGCTGGACTTCCTCGCGCAACTCCCTGTTGAGCCGGTTGGCTTCCTTTTCCAGAAGAGGGTCATTCTCATACTTGATCACCTCCTTGGTGACCAGCTTGGTCTCCACCTTGGATTTCTCTACTTTCCACTCATCCCTCTCCTTGCGCAGGAGCTGCAGCTGGAGCTGGGTGTTGTTGTAGGTGTTCTGCAGCTGTGTCACCTGCTCATTCAGCCTGCTCAACTCCCGGATGAGCTCTGGGCTTCTCTCCTCTTTTATCACCTCTTGGGTCACCTCCTTCAGCTCCACTTTGGGCTTCTGGGACCGCAGGGCTTGGAGGTCCACCAAGATAATGCTGATTTCCTTCTCTATGTCTGCACGTCGCCTGCTGGAGTCCTGCAGCTCCTTTCTCAGACGCACCAGTTCAACTTCCGTCTCTGGATCTACTCTGTAGATTTCATTGATTATTTCCTTGATCTCCACCTTGGGTTTTGTTTGGTCCACCTGATTGTAGCGGAGCTGAAGCTTTGAAATCTCCGCAAAAAGGTTGTTATTCATGCTCCTCTCTTCCTCTATGAGGGTGCGGATTTTCTTGGACTCATTGATGAGCTCTGGGTCCTGCTCAACCTTCTTCACCTCTTTGGTGATGATCTTTGGCTGCACTGTGGGGATAATCCTCTCCAGCGTGTTGATCTGGCTCCTGATGTTAAAGATCTCATCGTTGAGAGATTTGCATCTCTGGCTTTCGTTTGAGATTTCATTCTCAAAGCTTCTGACAGCCCTCAGCATCTCAGGATTCTTCTCTACCTTCACCACTTCCTTCTTCACCACCTTTTCCTTGACAATAGGCTGCTTCTTCTCCAGGATGGAGATGTCCGTTCTGATGTGAACAATATCAGTCTCTTTCAGTCGCACCTCCTCCTTCATCCTACGAATGTCATCTCTCAGCCTGCTTGCCTCGATGTCCAGCTGGGGATCTTTCTCAATTTCGGTCACTTCCTTGGTCAGGAGCTTGGGCTGGATGGTTTTCAGCTCCTGCTCCACGCTGATGATCTTCTTGTTGGCCACCTCAATCTCAGTCTGGGTTATGGCCCTGCGGGAGCTCTCGTCTTGGACCCTGCTCCTCAGAGACACAAGCTCGCTCTCCAGCTTTGGGTCTCGGTAGTACTGCACCACTTCTTTCTCCTCCAACCTCTCCACGCCCCTTCTGCTCTTCAGGGACATCATCCTCTTCATGCAGTTGTCCAAGTCCATCTCCACACGGGTACGCCTGGAAGTCTCTTCGGCCAGGATGCTCTTGAGGTTATCTGTCTCCACCATGCTCTTCTGCTGTAGCTGCTGCTGCACGACTACCTGGCTCACTTTGTCTTCATTCTGTCAGCAGGAGATGAGAGATAGGAGTCAGAGTCTGTCCTTGATTCTGTTCACTTACACATTTTAATACAGGGAAAAGACAAATAGAAGGTTCTCAAACTGGGGGAACAGAAAGACTGAAAATGGAATTCTCTTCTTCAACTGAATGTAAAGGTATAGAACTGTCCTATTTATACTACATTGAATTTTCTCATTAAGCGCAGCAAGCGAAGGATATGATTTCAAAGCAAATTAGCGAGAAAAACATGCACACAAGCTATTTCTATATTATTAATTCTATGTTATCAGTGTAAAATGTTTGGAATTGCTTCCCTTCCATTTTGCATTGATAACTTTATTGATATGTGCTCATAGCAGCAGTGCTCTCCCTTACACAAAGTATTTCACCTTAAAAACAAAACGAGTAGAGATCTCTGGTCTCAAGAAAGAGGTCCTTCGTTTTTGTGATGAAGCCAAGCATGTTCAGATAGTCCCTGTGAGAGCAATGTGACCTACCTGAGCGATGATGTTCTTAGCGAAACCCATCTGGTTCAGCATCTGTTCATTCTCTGCGCTCACCTCAGCGTACCGGTTCACCAGGGCCTTTTCCTGTAACACAGTCGCGCCGTCAGCTCAGACAGCTCTGGTTACTGATTAAAACACTGATTATTGCCCCAAGCTTCAAAAAACAAAACAACTTTTTTAACCTTGCAGGATTGGGTAACTAGCAGACAACTGCACAGATAGCTGCAAGGGTTTCAAGTTCTCCAATTCCAGGTTGTAATCATCACCATCATCATGGTTGCTGGAGATAGTGGACAACAGTCGTATCCTACTTAACCTGCAACAGATGTCAAGGAAGTGCCTCCTTTTTGATGACTAAATGTGAATATTTCTGCATCTGCTATAAGCTTAAACAAAAATAGCTTGTTTTAGCTTAGTTTAATAGCCGAAACAAAAATAATTTCAGTTCTGTCCTTGGGATTTCCCAGAACAGGTGTGCACGTGCAGTGCGTCCAGCTCACCTCTCTCTGCACCGCATCTGCCAGAGAGGAAGCTTGCAGCCTCTTCGCATCTGTGATTCCCACAGTGGAGTCCAGAGTGCCACGGTACTTGTCGGAATTCGTCTCGTATTCCTGTCAAAGTGGGCAAAATCAGGAAATCAGATAGGGAGCTCAGTACCTAACAAGCCGAAATCTTTTACGTGACACACATTTTACTTCATCAGCAGGCAGCTAGAGTTCCACTGCATTCACCAAATATGGGAAATATGTCTCACATCTACTATATCTAATTTAATTACAGTTTCAGGTCATTAGAGATTTTCGAGGTGGAGAATATCTAATCAGGAGGGGGCTGCAAGCCTCCATTCATTCAAGGTTTGTTGTCAGTTGCAGCATGCCTGACAACCAAATATGCACGTGCACAAGTCATTTCAATCCACAGAGCCTGGTGGAATACCTCAAAAGCAGAAAAATGCACATAAATGTGAAGATGTTTTATTGTATACATATTCTATAATAAGGGGTGTTCTTCAGACCTTTATGAACATTTTTATACGATAAAAAATGTAAAAACATAACTGTTGCAAGGGCAATATAGGAGTCGAAGATATTGCTTCCGCTTATACATAGTTTTATGATTTTTTTTATGGCGCAGAAGCACTGTCTTCTTTCATGAAGTCATGCTGGTCTCTTACACTGAGGACGCTCTGCAGGTCGTTGGACAGATCCACAACGCGATTGACGTCATCACCTTTCCTCCTGATGTCCTCCACCACTCTCTGCAAGGCAAAGACCCTTGGTGAACACATGATTTCTTGACATCTGCACAGGTCACAATGACCCCTAGCTGAGTAAACAAGTGATGTTAATCAACTGGTCATACATGCACGTGGGTTTAATGACCCAGTCCTTCATTACACTACATCAATCCCAGCAACCCTAGTGTGTAATAAGCAGCACACCTTCTCATTCTGGTACCCCATAGGCTAGAGCACTCCAGCACCCACAATTCCATCTCCCATGACCCCCCACACAATCTCACCTTCTGGGAGCTCTGCTTGGCGTTGACCTGGGAGAGGCTGTCACCGGGGCTTATCCTGTTGTTTGGCAGACTGTTCAGGAAGGAGTTCAGTGATTGGGTGGTGCCCGTGAATGCCTGGTTCTTATTGGCGGCCTCCTGCATGAGATTCTCCCTGAAAGAGTTCAGGCGAGCGGAACAGCCAATCAGAAACGGGAGACAGCAAGAGGGGTTGTCCGGGCAGGGGGGGTTGGGAGGGGGGGAGAGCTCACCTCTGCAGCAGCTGGCTGTTGACGCTGGCGTAGCGGTTCTTGAGCCGCTGCACCTCGGCCTCCTGGCGGCGGATGTCGGGGCAGTACTCCTGGTAGCCCTTCTGCAGGGAGCTGCACAGCTGCTCCGTCGTCTCCAGGTCCCGGCTCAGCTTCTGCAGCTCGTCCTGCTTCCCGGCCAGCTCCTTCCGCATCCGCTATAGAATGACGTGGAAAAGACTGAGCGCACCGAGCAGGGCTGCAGCTGGGGAAATCGACGGCTTCCACAGGGCAAATGATTTGCCCGGGCAGTTTGCAAATCTCTAATTCCATACAGAGGCTGCAGGCCCCAGGACTGGTGTAACAGTGTTATACTGACCATCCCAATCCTGTTTAAAAAGACTGACGGAGGCCCTGCTCCGAGCTGACCTCAGTGAAAGTTAAGTGATGGCAGCTGTAGCTGGGGGTGCCCCGCCGGCTGCTCTGCCCACCTGGAGGTCCTGGGTGTGCGTCTGGATGGCATTGGGTGTGTCTGGCACACCTGTGTCCTTAGCCAGCCGGCTCTCGAATCCAGCGATAATCCCATCCACTTTCTTAATCTGGTTCTCCAGTTCCATAGAAGCATTGGCCCTTAGAGAGAGACAGAGGTCAGGCTCAGCTGATTGCTTGTACGCTGTCCAACAGCGCAGGTGTATTGTGCAGTATATCAGTATGCCACCGTCCCAGCATTTCGACTTTTATTATGATTGTATCGACCGATGAGCCAAGTCCTGCATTTGTTGCTTTGTTGAAATCCCGATGATTGTTTTAAAATAAGCATTGCTTTCAGCTGCATGCTATTTTAAAACTTTGCAGAAACAAACGGGTGAAGAGGGGTAAAATGTATGGGAAAAGGGGTACCTAAGGCTTTCACGTCCTGATGTAACCCTTACAGTACAAATTCGATCCCCGGCTGCCAGCACACTCTGTCTCTGCCTGCAGGCAGGCAGGAGGGTAAGGGCTCGGCTTACTTCCTGGTGTAGAGGTCGCAGAGGGCAGCGATGTCGTCCTGCTTGTTCTTGGCGTTGCTGAGCTTGAGGGGCAGTGGGGATGGGGCGGGGCCGCTGGGCTGCTGGGCCAGCAGGGGCTGCACCTCCCTCTGCGCGGCTGCCCTCACCTTCTCCAGGTCCTGCAGGGCCTTGGCTGCTCGCTGGGTGGACAGACAGCACAGGACGTCAAGCTGTGAGGGCTCAGCAGGGTCCAGCAGGGCCCAGTGCAGCCCTGACCACAGCTCACAGCAAAGCCAGGAGCAGCAAGGCCAAGACGAAAAGCCAGTATTGCTGCAATAGTCACAGTGTGGAGCCGACTTACGTCTAAGTAAAGAAATATTAAGCTTACACAGCCTTATGTAAGGAAAGTGAACTTAGTGGAGCTCCTTCCTATTGGAAATGAGGAATTGGATCAATAGAATTCTTTCAAGCGAGCTCCCCCGAACTCAGTGTCATGTCGAATGTTATGAAAGTGCATTGTAAACCGCTGTTGTGTGAGCTTTTGTTGGTAATTTTGTCACGCTCTCTGTAATGCCCCGGCATGAAGGACAAATACATGCAAGTCGTGTCTTCCGTGCACTTTGATGCGGACAGAGAGAAAGGGCACACGTTCTGCACAGTATGGGCCAGATTCGGAGGGGGCCAGCCGTTGACACTCGACGGAATGAGCTGGGGGGAGCCACCGTGTGGTCTGAAGGGACCGGGCGGCCCCAGGGCCGGGCCCTGCGACAGGAGGGGCCCTCACCTCCTGCTCCTTCAGCCTGTTGGCCAGATCCTGCGAGGGGGAGCTTCGGTCCAGGGGTGTCCGCAAGCGCCTCAGGACGTCCTTCTCCGTCTGCGCCAGCTCCTTGTCCATCTGCTCGAGGCTGGCAGACAGCTGCTTCACCTTGGGGTCTTCAGGGGTGCTGGACACAAGCCCTGCAGCAGGACCACATGGGAATCCTATAGTGTATCACACAGCCCAGTGCTGCCCCGCTGGGCCTCGGAAAGCCTGCAGTTTCAGTATCTTTAACTCGCTCAGTGCTTTCAGACAATAGCCCACAATCTGGGCACTCAGGAAATCCCCAGCACTTCCCGTCCAGCCTGCCCCATACCCGCCCCGTACATCCCCCGATGTAACTGGCCGTGTTTAGGGCCGCTCACCTGATCTCTGCGGCCGGACCCCCTCCAGCGTCTGGCTCTTCAGGGAGCTCTGCAGAGCCGCCCTCTTCTTCTTCAGCTCAGCCAGCTCAACGCCCAGCCTGCACAGCGAGCACACGGGTCACACCGGAGCCGCGACGCGGGACGTCCGCACGCTAACGATCCCAAGGGCCACGAGCCTGATGGCCTGGCTGGGTTCAGGTTCGGGGCTTTGCGTTTCTCTGTTGTATAGTGCGCTGTTAGTGTCATGTGTTGTGTCTGTTGTGTAGCACACTTCAAGAGAAGATGAAAGCTCTTTGGGATCTGATCTTTCGCCACAGCGTGGATCTTGAGAGACTGTGGGTGCCAGGCCTGTCTCTTTCTCACCTAAACTCAGGTTCAAGTACGTTCTTCCACTGTGCAACCCTTTTGTGTCTTTGTCTGGCCCCGTGCTGTTTGTTGTGTGTTTTTTGCTCTGGGGGTGGTGAGGGGACGCAGGAAAAAGTGCGGTTATATATTTTGTCATCTGGTTTAGTGGAAACGTGGAAACGTGGTTTACTACAGCAGGTGTCTGTGAAGGACCTTCTTTTCATAGTGTGTGAAACCCACCCAACCCAGCCCAGCCCTGTCCAGCACAGCCCAGCGCAGCCCAACCCAGCCCAGCCCAGTCCAGCCCAGCGCCCAGTCCAGCCCAGCGCAGCCCAGCGCAGCCCAGTCCAGTCCAGCCCAGCCCAATCCATTCCAATCCAGCCCAGCCCAGCCCAGTCCTGTCCAGTCCAGCCCAGCCCAGCCCAGCCCAGCCCAGCCCCTCACTCACCGGTCCACTTTGTCGATGGCTTCGTGGTCCGGGGGAGGAATGAGGAAGCAGACCCCTGGCAGGGTCTTGGTCTGTCCGTTGCTGGACTGGAGCACCCAGTTCTCGGCACTGGAGTTGTCCTTCAGGGTGCACTTCTCGTCGCGGGTCACTGACGCCTGGCAGGGTGCAGGACACGGCGGTCAGAGAGCAGACCGCTCAGGCACAGAGACCAGGCATCTCAGACACACACTCAAGCCGCGGCAGATCGGGACGGGCAGCGGAGCTCAAGGCCGCACTAACAGAACAGGTTTCACTTCATTCCTCTCTCGGGTTAGACTATTTACAGAGAGAGAGGTGCGTGCAGGAGTGGAGAGGCCCTTAGACACTTCAGTAACTGGGACTTTCTTCACCCAGCATGCTCCAGTGGGATGCCCAGCTGTGCAATTGCACTCCGTCAGCTAAGCAAATTAATAATATATACAGCATGGGTTTAAAGGTGACCCTCTGGGGCAGCTCCGGACTCACCTCCTCCGTCTCCCAGTCGCACAGGGACTCCACGCTGGTGGGCTTGGTGGGGCTCGTGCGGCGCAGCTTGAGGGGGGCGACTTTGGTGCTGCGCTTCCTGAGGTCAGCCAGGAGCTGATCGCTCTGCTGCACCGTCTTCTCCTCGGTCTGGGGCGCAGAAAAACAGAGAGAGAGAGCTGACACAGGCGCGGGGCACCGGGGGGTTGGGGGGTCGGGGAGAATGGCGGGGGGGGTGAAACAGCAGATTTCCCCAGGAAATCCCAAGGAATCTGCTCCCTGTAGGTTGTTCCAGACTCCCTCTATGTCAAGAAATTTCTCCCTATCTACAGACTTAAAAGCATCTCCCCACTTCAACTTCAACTAGTGGGACTGCTGATCCTGAAGCAGGCAGTAGGGTAGGCTTTGTTGCTAGTTAGTTCCTTTCTGGACAGATATTCGCTCCCTGGATGGGGAAACCCCAGCCCTGCCCGGCCTCACCTCCAGCAGCAGCTGCATCTCCGAGTTGGTCTTGTTGCTGAGGGCCTTGGGGTCCAGGCTGGCGTTGAGCTTCTTCAGGGACCCCAACAGGGTGTCAACATCGTCCTGGTACTGAGGAGCACGGAAAACAGACGCAGTGGCTCAGGAGGAGGTTTTTTCTTTGCCTTTTTAGATGGGAGCGGGGCTGGTTCAGGCGGAATGCTGAGGTCTGGGTTTGCTCTTTATCAGTGCAATGATCTCTTTTTTTTCTTTGTTACCTTTCTGTAATCCTCCACATTGTCCAGGTGAGTCTCCTGGCAGATGCAGAGGTTCAGGAAACTCTGCCACTCGTTCCTCACAGCGTCTCTGTGAGCCTGTAAGAGACACATGGATACTGTCAGGACTGCTGAGCTGGACTCAAAGGGAGTGCACAGGGAGGAATCATGAGCAATGACATTAACAATGCTAACATGCAATGCCTATTCAAACTCAGACAGCAGTAGCCCGTGCTCTCCCTGGATTAAAATGCAGTGCAGTTCTCCCAAGAACCTGCTAGCAGGAGCTCCGATCAACAAGGAAAAAGGCCGGCTTCCAAAATGCAAATCAGTCAGCAGGCAGGTTTGTTAGCTCCTGCCAGTGATCTCCACCAATTACAAAGAAACAACCACAACACTGACTTTAAGAATAACTGTAGCCTCACCGCAGTAATCAGGCATCCGTAGTCTGCCAAGGTTTAGATTATTATTTAAACCCCAGCTTAATGTATATCTCTGTCTTAAGGACAGTTCCTACTTAACGGCTCCTTTTAAACTAGGTTTCCTCTCAGTGCTTTTCCCTGGGCTCTGACCTGGATGGTGGGGCTGGCCGGGTGCTTCATCTCGATGAGCCTGTCCCCGTCGTCCTGCAGCTTGTTCACCTCACTCTCGTGGGCCAGCAGGCTGTTGTTCTTGAAGTTCTGGTGGAGGACAGAAAGACGCCGGCAGAGGGAGTCAGCGACACCTCCTGGCCCCTGGGAATGGTCATGCTGTGGCCCTGAGACCTGCTGCACGTCATCACATCATCTCACCCTCCTCTCCTCCCCCCCACTCTCACCTCGTACTGCCGGCGGATGTCGGAGGGGTCCGTCAGGCGGTCGCTCCAGTCCTGCTTGAGGATCTTCTCCTGCTGCTCGTTCAGGTAGACCAGCTCCTTGGTGCAGCCCTGCATGTAGTCGTACAGGCTGCCCAGGTAGTGCCGCCGCCACTTGGAGTTTTCCTGCAGGAGAAGGCAGGAGAGGCGGAGCACACGTCAGCCTGGCAGAGCTACAGTATGTCAGACCCTTTTCTCAGAGAACCACGCGACACGTGTAAAACAGGCCAGAGATTTCTTTATTTTAATAAAGAAAGGAGGACAGACGCAGTTAACAGTTTGACCTCGTCTATTACTCACTTTCCTAAGGACAGCAACAGAGCTTTTATTTTCTGAGATGAGCGAAATTTCCATACAAAAACATACATTTTTGTGATTGGTCAGTAACAGTATGTTATATATAAGGTGTAAACAAGGTCAAAAAGTTAAGCAGTTAGGTCAGCCTTGGGCAAATAACCAAAACCCTAATAAGCTAAGAGCTCTGTTCCCTTTCATGTTGCTAAGTCAAGCAGCGGGTACATGAGTTACACCTCAAGAGACCTTGGAATAACTTAGGCCTGCCGGGAATGCACAAAACAGTAAAACAGTTCTTGAGGACTTCATTGTTAACTCCTAACAGGCGTAGGTTCCTTCAAGTGTCTTAGCCAAGGAAGAAGGACACTTTCATCATATGTGTGGTTTTCCACATTTCTAGCATTTTTTTGCTGTACTCGCTTTAAAAATGAAAATAAATGGTTTAGCCGTTCATGAAGCTTAAGAACTCACCAGGAGATTCTGGTATTGCTTCTGAATAGCTGCCAACTCCTCCTGAAATACCAAACACATGATCAAGAGAAAATACTTTGGGATCCTCTGTAATTTGTAGAGTCCTAGTGCTTCATTAACTGGTTGTCACTCTGTGCAGTGGGCTAATCCTCTTGATGTGATTATATATAATTCCCTTCCCAGTGCTGGGATATACTATTGTTTTCTATCACTCCCACCGGATTTACTCGTAGTGCAAAGGCATCTCATGTGTTTGCACTTCAGGCGACCATAATAAAGCCTGTATTCTGTAATATATACTGCATTCATAATTCAGTTTTCACAGAGTTGAGGACAACAACGCTCTGAATACAAGTTTGTTTCGAAGAGATATTAATAATCTCATGTATTGTCTTCTTGTTTGGATTTGCACTTATGAAAGCACCCACTCTGGTGTGAGTCAGGTTTTCCCACAGACAAGACCCCTGCAGGAAACAGAACCCTCATTTTCCTGGTTGTGCCACCCAGTTCAGATGCAGGTCACTGCTAGCGCATCTTGAGGGAAGAAGCTGTGTGTTCTTAATGCAGTGTGCTTTTCACCCTATTGCATGACGATAAGGAGCGGTCATGGCTCTGGACTTGTAGCCGGTTCAACTCCTGGGGGTGGGAAACTGCTGTGATACTTTCGAGCAAAGGATTTCACTCAGCCTGTTTTAGTAAATTACCCGACTTTGCACAAAAACAAAGTTAATGATAAAATAAAAATCTTGCACAGTGCAGTGTCATTATCACCCAGCAGGGGGCAATGTCAGCCTTACCGGAGAGCTGGTGCTATTACCGTCCAGCTGGGGGCCATATGCTTCGATCTCTTTGTGCAGGATGTTATGGGAGGCAATTTGTTTCTCCAGCTCTGGCATCCCGGGGCCATATTCCTCTATGTTGACCTGCCTCTGGACAAACAACACACACAGTAGGAGTCAGCAGGAGAGGCTCAGGATTCCCCAGGAAGTGGGAGGAGGGGGTCAAAGGTCAGAGGTCAACCGTGCTGTGTGAGTTTTTACCAATCAAGTCAAGGAATGACGGAGACGGACATCTCGCCGACACAGAGGCGCGCAGAACCAACCTGTTTCTGATTGAGGATCTGCACCCAGCCAATTTTGGGTGAGAGACCGATCTCTTTCTTGGCCTCGTACACCTCGCGGTAGAACTTGCAGTCGGCGGACCAGCGGTCGTGGAGGTTGCTGACACTGCGTGAGAGAGGACAGCGCGCGGGAGAGTCAGGCCCGAGGAGGCTGGAAACTTGAATCATTCCCCCAAGCTGGCGCACGAGAAGGGCATTATGAGGGATGCACTGGCAGGGGAAGTGTTACGCCAGGCCAGCGGTGAAATGTCAGTATCCCTCCGGCCCCCCTCTCTAGCAGAAGGGAGTGTGGCCCGCGGGGGACTCACTCGCTCTCGATCTCGCTGGCCTGCGGGTGCTTCAGCTTCTTGGCCCTGTCCACGTCCAGGAACAGGTCCTTCAGCAGGCCCTCCGCCTCTGCCAGGTTGTCGGCGTTCTCCTTCTGGTGCTGGAAGGGGAGGCTCTTCACCTGGTTCTCCTTGTCCTGCGGGCAGAGAGAGGGGAGGCGCGGCTCAGGCGGTGGGGCCGCGTGCCGGCGTGCCTGTCCGCCGCCCGTCCGCGCCCTCTCGCTGTGTGCGCCCCTCTGTGGATTTCTGAGGGAGCTGAGACAGCAGCAGTCCCAGAATTGCCCTGTTTAATACGCGTTATATCCTATGACACGCATATTCAATTATAATACGAATGAGAAAAGAACATGACACAGGGCGGCAGAGCCCTGCGCTTTCCTGCAAGAGGGAAAGAGCCTCCCCTGTAACGCTACCCAGTCGAAAGAAATACCCCAGGGTGGACAGAGGCTCTTTACTTTAGCAGCCTGCTTGCTGCTTCGTTGCCGTCCCTCCCCATCAGGAGACACAGAGAGGCGTCCTGTAGGCGGAGCACGGCGCCTCCTGCACCACAGCGTCGATCCTGCAGGAGGCGCTGGTGTCACACACCCCAGGGGGGTGCAGGCTCTGGACTGCTTGCTCCTTCCCTGTCCCGGGTGGTCTGGCAGACGCGCCCTGAGACTCGGGCTGCGCCACGGAGGGTCCTTACAGGGAGCCCATGGGGGGGACAGGCTGTCGGCCGTGCCTCAGTGATGCCCTGAGATTAGAGCCCCTCGTCCTTCAGCCTGAGCGGAACACTGCTGCAGGACCCAGCAGGAGCACTCTCAGAGGAGCCGAGCTTGGATCTTACCAATTTCAGCTTCTCCTCTGCAGACAGAACGTCTCTCTCCACCTGGTCGGCGCTCTTCTGCATGCGGGCGATCAGCAGCGCCAGGTCACTGGCTTGGGCCCTAGGGAGAGACAGGGAGGTGGGACGGTAACACAGTGCAGGACAGGTGGGCATCAACACTCATGCGCTCGCATGACGAGGCTTGCTTATCGCCATGCGCTACAACCTCAAAACGCTGGATAAACTTCTCACTTCTGTACTCTGAACACCTAGTTGTGTTCCCCGAGTTCTTAATTTCTGGGTCTGCCACCAACTAAGAATGACAGTCAGAGATATTGATCACCAAACATATATCGATTGGTCACTAAAACCTGAGGACTGCTTTTTCTGACAGGACTCACCTGATCAGACTCCCGCTGTGAAGGAAGCAGAGGAACAAGGCTGCACTGTCCATAGTGAAAGCAGACTGAAGGTCAGAAGCCGCAAACATAAAAAGAGTGATGGTTGAGCTGTGGCCATTTCGCCTGTCTGGCCAGCTTGGCCATCAGTGGCCGATCGATCCCAGGATTTCCTCTAGTGTATTCTTTGAAGAAGCCAGGGTATCGGCTTCAACAACATGGCTGGTCAGCTTGTTCCACACTCCCACCACCCTGTGTGCCTCCAGTTCGTTCTCGATTGCAAAGGCATCGCTGCCATTCCAGCTGCTGTGGCGCAATCGCCTGAAGTGTCACGCTCCCTGCTTTTCACTACATTGGCTACTTTTGCTGTTTTTGGTTGCTACATTGAAAGTCACGCATTTCAGGACACTCCTTCAGCCAACTAAGGGAGAAAGAATGTGACTCTGGTGTGTCTGTTTAATCTAGCTACCTTCCTTGCTCTCTCTTCACAAGTGCTGTCTACCTGCTCCCTGATCTGTAAGACCAGTTTGCCAACTGAGAACAGATCCATGTATCTGGGATGTTTTTAAATATTCATTTTGTGTGCAGTCAACAGGCAGTGGCATCTCTCAAAGTAAAACACGGAGGTAGATGCCCCCCCACAAACCATGACAGTGTTAAAATGGCATTGTAAATTATTACTAGCAATAGACTGAATAAGGTCTTCATTAACCTTATCGTATATGCAAAAATGTCATCTAATATAAAACCTGAATAGATTATTTCCTTCTGTGGTTCATCTTTAATTTCTATCCTAAAAGAGAAGGCTGTTGTTGACACCAAGTTCCAAACAAAATGGAAAGCAGGCAGCGAAGCTCAGGAAAGAGCCGTATTAAATTCTCTCAGCTCTCTGAGCCACAGGCCTGGGAAAGTGGGACACCCTCTCAGCTGCTGCCTGGGGCTCTTTGCCTGCTGTAAAAACACACCGGGATTAGGAGTTAAATGCTACCAGTGTGTTGCCACCCTTCCCAAAAAGAAAAGGAGTTCTGGCTTCCTCTTAATCCCATGACCCTTGAAGATTACACCCAGTGTAATCCTGAAAGCTCTTTATATATTCCATATGCAGAAGGGCTGTGATTGCATCGGCCCCTCTGTTCTTAATCCTTTAAAGAGCACGATTCCCAGAGCCTTTATCTTCACCTGCTAGAAGTGTCATTTTCTTTGAACCACAAAAAGAGAAATGGTTTTGAAGGCAGGCAGGAAGGCCAGAGGTATTTTACCCACTAAAACCTGAAGGAGCAGTGATTCAGTTCAGGTTTGTTTTCCACCTGCAGTTCAATGCATTTTGCCATTTGTCTTTAAAGAAAAATCAAAGTGCCTGACAACTACAACAGCAGAAGTGTTAAAGACTCGAGTTCCTCTAAGGAACACTGGCAGGAAGACAAGGCTGTACTTTAAGTCAAATGCAAAGAAGACTCTGCCTCTCAGGAGAAATGCTACAGAAACCATGTCAGGAGTCCTGGAATGTTTTAACAGTACAAATAAATGATAGTGAATTAATTTATGTAATTAAGGATGCGGCGGAAATTAACTGGAAGCTGTGGTATTTGGCTATCCTCCTACTGTGCCTGGAGTAACATATACATGCAAGTTAACCCCTAAAGCACCTTACACCTAGTAGTCATGCAGTTCTAAACCCTTCCTGAGAATCACTTCAAAAAGATGAAAAGAAGCATACAGCACACATACAAGCACATACAAACTCCCAGACCACAAAGTTAATCAGAACTAGCCCAGGCCGACGATGAAAACGAACTTTCCGTTCACTTCAAACAGGGCTCTTTGCTATGCAGAAGTGAGCTGGAACAAGACCCACTCAGTATGAGGAAATCAGAAGGGTCCGTTTCCATCACTGGTCACAGCGTCTCCTGTCAGGCTGGCAACACACTCCACAGCACAACAAACCAACCGACACCCCTCACAGCTACAGCTGGTGGCTGCATATGACACAACTTCAGGACAGGCATACTACCCTCCACTGCGTATTTATTTCCAGTAATTGGAGTTCAATTCCAAAATCAATTCTACATTCAGTAGAGACTGGGCCGAAGTGAGAAATGTTTCAAATTTGAGTGTCGCAGGCTGGCCCCCCTCCCACCCCAGGATGCAGTAATATAATGACAGGAAGCGGTTTGTAGGAGTGCACAGGACTCTGAGCTGCAGCTTGAAGGTTGCAGGTTCAAATCCCAGGTGGGGCATAGTTGCTGTATCCATGAGCAAGGCACGTCCTTCCGATTGATCTAATAAAGTACCCATGTACATGAGTATAAATCCAATTGACGATGCACAAACTTATCAGTCAAACAAATTCCTAATTTCAAGACTGACCTAACTGCTTAACTTTCTGAAGTAAAAAGGCTCTGCAATTATTCAACTCTAGAGCTGTGTTTTGCTCTAAGATAAGATCAGATCACTTTATTGGCCATATACAATTTCTTGTATTAGGAATTTGTCTTTTAGCATACCCCAACTTGCTCTCTTTTAACTTCGTCATTAAAGTAGTTGAACGATTATCACTGTGTAACCGGCCATCAGATGTCTAAGTAGATTGTTAATCAAGTACAGCTGTTCCTTGTTTCTCACACAAATGCGTAGACATTTTCATACAAATGAATGCTCTTAGCAGTCTCTTTGGCAGCTTCCTGCCTACCCCTTGCTAAAAGGCACACGTACTGAAATCCAATTCAGTTAGGCTGCATGTGTCAGTGTGCTTGTTTAGCCTTGAATATTTAACAGTTTTCACAGACAGATCGATGCACAGACACTTAAAGGTTAAGATGCTTGTACAGTCAGGATCCTCCGTCTCATTGAGCAGGTTTTTTGAGCGGGCCAAAGAATCATTCTGCTGGTCTTTGCTCCACAGGAAGTGTCTGGCACATCTGAAGCTGCACGTTTTTCTTTCTGCCAAAGAGCACAACTTGGAAGTGCAGTGGTCAGGTTGAGGGGTGTACAAGCCTCGACCAGATGACCACACCTGTCTCACCGATGGACACCCCAAGTCAGGGTCCGAGGGGAACATGTGCAAAGTACGTCACGCATGTGCTACTTGTGACCACACTTACTGCTGACTGTAGGAAGGCCTGGAGTGCAGAACAAGCCAGAAATTAAAGAGACAAAGCAACGAGAATCATGGCGATGAGATCCATAACCTTCAAGAGTCACTTGCTGCTTTTTCTACAATATTGGTACACCTTTCAAAAACCTGGAAGACCATTATAAGACCTGTTTTGCTGTATATGAGTTAGCACTGACGATTTCCAATTCTGTTGCACATAATGCAGTGTATTTAAACATTCAGATTCAGCAAGCAGACAGCACAATCTTAGCTCTGATTTTGTCATTGTTGAAGATGTAACACATAATCAAACAGAAATAATTCTTCATTAACCTTTGCCCAGGCTTGTGGGTTTTGATTACACTGAAAAGCCAATCAGAAACACTATTTGTCTGTGTTCTGCCCCAGCATGTTGTGCAACTTTCTCAAACCTGTTTATTGTGGGGACACACCTAGCTGTGAAACTGTGCCATGCGTTTATGTGTGATATTGAACATATTATCAAGGTAAAACTGTACCTACAAAACAGCTAAAAACACTGGGGTTGTATTTTGACCTCAGCTTATTCCCATTTTATGACAACTATGTGGTCACCACATGGATTGTGTGAAAGGGCTTCTGAAGAGCTGTGTTAAGCTGTATTAGTGCTACAGGTGCTCAGTGCTTGAGGTGCATCAGGCAATCTGCCCCAGGGCAGCCAGGGGCCACAGCCTGGGAGAGCCGGAATGGATCAGTGGCGTCTGGAAGCAGGCTGGGCTGGTTGGAGGAGTTCCTCCCTGCACTGTTTCAGTGGCAAACAACAACAACAATTAGTCGTCCCTCCTCTCTGCCTCACTGTTCCACTGACACCTACACCCTGTGTGCCTCCCCCCACCTTCACTCGCACACACTCACAGTCTCACACAGTCTCACACGCACTCTCTCGCACACACCCACTCGCACACACACACAGTCTCACACGCACTCTCGCACACACCCACAGTCTCACACACACACT